ATCTTTCTATACTTTCAGGTCACTCATCTCATTTTAGGTAAATGTCTTACCACTACCTTCCACTTTTGCCTTTGCATATATGCATGATATAAGTCAGATAGTAAGAAAGGTACCGTCTGCAGTCAAATATAATTGCAGAACAATTAAGGCACTGCTCAGGCTTAATAGTAACTTTTCTGGTTCTTGAGAGAGGTTGAGAACCCTTGACAACAGGGTGAGATAAGACACTGTGTGCAGCCTCTTACCTCCAGGTGGTGGGAGAGGATTAATCCATCCATTTTGATCTTGAGGTTCTCTCCAACCCTAACCATTCTGTGATTGTATGAAATTAAACTGGAAGGACATGTATCTAGGGGCACTTTGTTGCTGAGGACATGGTGGAGACAGATACCAAAGCCTGTATCTAGAATCTGTATCAGCTGCTACCACTTTGATTTGAGCACTTTCTCCTTGTCAAGGGCAGATTCTTTAAATTTATGATCTGTACAGAGATCCCTGCAGTCAGTGCTGTCCTGTGCAGGTGTTAATGCTGACATTAGGCTTGGAGATTTCCTTCGTTGCTCAGCAATACATGTTTTACCATATCTTTCTGACGCAACTATTAAATTAATAGCTTCCTTTAAGTGCCCTGGAGGTTAACAGGATGTCAATACATAAAACAAATTTTCTTAATGTCAGCATAAAGTCTTTGTTATCTCTATTAGCCACAGTGCCAAAAACAGAAAGGTGTTTCTGCTCACAGGGGATCCCATCCCCAAACTGGTGTTAACTGGCCAACACCCTTCCACTGGTTCCAATGGCTTTGGGGGTCAGCCTTTGAGCATGGAACAGTTTGACCCTCCTGGGTAATGTAGAAATCATATTTGGAAGTGCTCTGAGTAGAGAGGATTCAATGTGTGTGGGTTTTGTTGTGGGGTTATTTTTCTTGGTGTTTATAGTTGTTGAGCAGATTATTACTGGTAAATATTAAATACGTCATCTGGAAAGGGATAAGCACTCTAGCTTTTGCCAACAAACCACTTAAGTACATGCTTAGAGATAAGCATGCATTAAGGTAAATGGAGTTGCTCATGGGCTTGGTGTTGAGCATATGTTTAGGTTTTCTGGATATGGAGAAACTCATTGCTCGAAACCATCATCTCTTACCCCTAATGAATGGAAATTAGATTCTAGCTTGAGAATTAATTTTCATTAAACAAAAAATTAAAAACTACTAGAAGAGAAACAGTTTGGGATGAAAAAGGAATTATCTAATTTGAACACCATAAAATGGAAAGAACATAATTTCAAAAAAAAGTTCCAAAATTTCTTTCCCATCTTACAGTCTTCTTCAAAACTTCTTTAGGCCCCAGAATTGCCAGGCAGGGTTGGCTTGGTTCTTGTGGAGTGTATTACCAAGTTTGATGTCTCCAGTGCTGCTAGTGAGTGTTGTGCTCAGGTCTAGCAGGCCCAGTAGAGGATCATGATGGAGCAGGAGGTAGGAAGGGCTCTCTGCTTGCTGAACTGGGTGGGATAAGGTAAAGATAGGGTTCTTACCCTATCCACGTGATTCCCTAAAGCAGTGCCGCTCATTAGGAAGCAATGATATGCATGTAGTAAGCTGTTATTGCACATGCACTTCAGAAATGTTAGTTGGAGCTTAAATATCCAAATTTAGAATTACTGACCTGCTTTGGATGTCACAAAACAACATTAAAGCACATTGGACTTTCTTCTGCCAGGTATACTGCAGGAGTGGGCAAAATATTGGGAGCCCTTGGGTTAGCATATATGCCTTTGTCCTGAAGAGGAAGATAGATAAAATGGCAAGAAACACTCTGATTCTGCTTTTCCCTTGAAGGGCCATTGAAAATTTGCTCTTGTGCTGAAGTGTATCAACATTAAAACAGAGGGAAGATTTCTCCAGAGAAGTCCAGCACAGACTGAGAGTTCTCACTATGCTCAGTGGGAAGCTATATAATCCTGGCTCTTTGGCAAATATTTAACTTTTTCATAGGGTGGACTGTCCCCAGCTGGAGGGGACGGACAGACGGGTGGTGCATTTGGTGCATTTCCCTGTCAAGCAAAATTGGCATAAAAAGAGGGAAAATAAATTATCAGATCTTGGATGTGAATTCTTTTTAACATTAAAAATGGATAAGCTGTGCTCTTGAGAGGAAGGCAGGGAAGGGAGGCTGGGGAAGGGCTGACCCTGCGGTGGGTTTTGAGAAGCACTCCCGTTAAGTGATCTGCAGCATCAGGCTTTTAACCAGCTCATTAAAAGCTTGATTTGCTCTGCGCCTGGTAGAGTGCCTCTTGTTTACCTACCCACAGTGACGGAGGAAAGGGACTGCCCTGCTCCCACATGCAAATGAGGAGTTATAAGGCTAGGGCTGAAAGGGTTGGCAAGTGAGAGCATGAAACTTAAGGTTACCTGTAGGCATCTGTTGCTTACCCTGCAGGTGTTTTATATGGCTATTTAATTGCACATTGCTCAGTACCAAATAAGTACAACTCACATGAATAGCTACAGCAACACAAATGCTGCTGCCTCTATGGTAAAGGACTTTATTTGAGAGACAAATAACTAATAATACCATAGGCCTTATGAGCTTTTGAAAGTCTGTACTTTATATCTGATAAAAAGGAAAGAAATTGTCTAACTCATAAAAATAAACCCAAAAGCATTTTAAGGACATTTTTTTCCCCCCTCCCTTTTCTATTCTTTTCCCAAGTTGCAAAAATAACATCCAGTAATGAAATGAAAACAAGCTGAATAGCTACATTCAGGGGAGGAGGGAAGAGGTAGTCGCAGACAGCTGGAGCATGTCTGGGCCAGTGTCTCAGTTCTTTTCTTTCTGCTAGTTTAGTGCCACTCCAAGAATGCAGACAATGCTGGCTACAACTGTTTCATATTTGATTTCCACACTTAAATCTGCGCCTGTTAAATGAAACCCCATTGTCAGGTTGGCATGCATCCATGCTGCCTCCTCAGGTCCTACTTCACAGCTTGCTGTCTGTGTTTGAGTGTCCTGCTCATATTCCTTCAGTAAGGACCAGGTATGCAAAAGGCATTTTGCTTTTTTTTTGTGCTGCTTGTGGCATTGCAATGAAAGCTTTTTGATTTTTCTTGCAACCACATCCATGGATAACCCTCATAAATCTTGGTCTGAGGGCAGACAGAAGTGCCACAGGGAAGGGATGGGGTTTTGGAACAGCCTCAAGAGCAGGGGATCAGCTGGGCACTCAGCTGGAACTGGGCAAGATACCGCAGGATAAAACACTTGGGGAAGCAAGGCCTGATTCTGCAAATGGGTTGGTATCCTGCCCTGCATGAGGAGAGGATGCATCTTGGGGATGCTTTTGGTCTTGGTGAGGCCCTTTGAATGCTCTGCTGGGCTGGGTTCAGCAGGGCTTTGCTGAAAGAAGGTAAGAGAAATGCAATTTATTGGAAGGAAAGCAGTGACTGTGAATAACAAAGGATCATTTCATATCCTCTGTAAAATACTATGGAGGGCATGAAATGTATGAATCTTTATTAATAAAGCTTAGGAGATTACAAAATCCAGCAGCTGTCCAGTCCTTTAGACTGCAGACCCTCTTGGCCTTTCTCTCTGCCATAAGCTGGTACTGTGGTCTGATACCTGCTTGTACATCACTTGTGCAGTGTAACGTATTGTTCAGTAAATGCCAGTAATGCCAAAGCAGACAGAGCTCTGCCTAAAGCAGTCTGCAATCTACTTCAGCATGAGGAGAGGTGGTAGAATGGGGCCATCATACCGTGGGGTGTGATACTGGAGCAGAAGGAAACACTGGCCATGTTTTGATTCTTCAGATGCTCTAGAGGAGCCCACTGCTGGACTGTTGTCATGGAAACACAGTTATTTTTGTGGGATTCAAGACTAGCCTCAAACAAAGGTGAAAGGGAAGGAAAACAAAAAAAAAGGGATTGGATGCACAGAAGGTAAGGTATTCCTCAGCACAGCAAAATTTGCCAGTGTCTGAGCCAGCAGCGAGTCCTCCAAGGTGTGTGAGCTGGAGGTATGTCAGGGCTGGATATTGATGCTATGCCTCTTGGTCCTTGGGCTCTGGCTATGTTCTGTGTCACCCAAAGGCCTTTTCCTCCTTCTGTCCTCGCCTCTCATCCTCCCACACTGCCAAGGTGCTGCTGCCTAAGGCTCTATGGCTCTGTTTGGAGCAGAGATGGTATGTTCTGGATGATGATTATTTTTCACATCTTGTTTTCTTTTCAGGTAACAAGTCTATGTCTGCACAGGTTTTAATGTCTCCTTGCATTAATGGTAGTGCAACATTCACAGTCTTAAGAAAAAGCAGAAAGGCAAACCCTTAGGTTTTGCTTTCTGCAATGTCAAAAGCAAACTGTACAATTTCCATAAAATTTTGCCCAGCCTTTAAATTCAGAAGCCCAGGCTATGTATGCTAAAGCTGTGTCCCTTTACTCGAAGCAGCATTGGGATGTAATGGGTACAAAGGGCCAAGTTACTGGTTTATAAAGTAATTTAATGGAATGATGCACATGGTTCTGGGGCGCCACTGATCCTGATGTGAGTGCATTCAACATCTATCCTTGAACATCTGTGCCACCTTCATGGCTGCCTTTAACAGCATTACTAGTGGCATCAACCTACCCTGTCAAGACCGATGCTCATGTTCAAATGTCCAAATTGGAGCAGTCTCACAAAAGCCAGCACAAAAGCCAAAGATGCACAGAACATAGCCAGACTCAAGCACAGCGCCAGTATTTGCCGGTACCTGCAGGCTGAGGTGGTACCACTCAGAACACTGCGGGTCTTTGCAGAAGTCTGGAAAGGCAGTGTAGAGAAAGGAGAACAGGACTGCATAACCCAGGTATCCAGTCTGAGCAATCCCAGCAATCGAGCAGTAGCAGTATGGGCTGAGGAGAGGAAGTGCAATGGCAGCAGCAAATTGCACTGAGGCACCCATTATGCTCAGTATGCCGAAGGCAAAACCAGCCTCCCAGGGAAACAGGGACAAAAACATTTTATCACTTTTCTGACCTGCTGGGAGAATTTTTTTAAACAAGTTAAAAACTGAAGAGTTCAGTATTTTTGGATTTTTTCATTTCCAATTTGGGGAAAAAAAAAGCCAACTGTTTTTCTATTCAATCTCCTTTATTCTGTGTCCAAAAGCGGATGTGATGGTAAGGAAAATGAGTAGCTTGAGTGTCATGATCTCATTAAAGAAAAATAGAGGGGTTTTGGGGGGTTTTTTGGGTTTGTTTTTTTTTTTTTTTTTGAGAGGGCAAAGTCATTAAAACCATGTTTTGTTAAAAATACTAGAAGAATAAATTGGAACAGGTATACTTACGCGATTTGTCATATGACATCTACATACAGTGGGTGACCTTTAAAATTTAAGCTGCATACTTGAATACAAAGTCTCCCATTATAAAAGAGAAAATGTGATAGGAGCTGGCAGAGCTACTGTGCTGGTGGGATGTTTAATGTTCATCTTCTGCAAGCACTGCTCAGCAGATTTGATCCATGGTACTAACAAAAGCAGTGCTTTCCCCTTCAAATGTATCATTCAAATTAACACTGCTGCTTCCCTGCTGCCTCCTGCATGTTACACTATAGGGACTCCTTGACTAGGCACCCTGACTCATGGCCCCTTGCACTGAGTTACCACCTACCCTGCCCTCAGCAGCTCCACGCAGCAGAATTTTGGCATGGTTGAGCTCAGCTCTGGGGTAAGTAGGTAAAAAACTTTGCTGCTTGAGCCAGTGCAGGCTGTCTTGGTGCTGGGCACTCAGCCCTCAGCATGCTCTCTCTGGCTCTCACACCTCCTTCTTGTCCTGGCACATCCCTGCCCCAGAGGGGTTTGCTATAGAACCAGGTCTATCTTGTGTGCCAGCTGAGAGGCTTTTCCGTGCTGGGGGAAGCCTTAGAAGAGCTTTTAGGAATAATTTAAATTTCCTTTGATCCAACAACTCTGCAGGTAAAGAGCTAATGCTATTCAAACAAGCAGTAACTAGCTGCTGGGCTTGAGCCTCTTGAGGAGCGGAAAGGGCTCTTCTCTACCAGGCTGGAATAGGTGCCCTGTGTTTCTCCCTGGTTCTGTGTACAGAGAGTGGTTGCAAAAGGGGTAGGACTGTGCTGAGCAGGGGCAGAACCAGAGCCTTGGTGATGCACACTGAAAGCCAGTTGGGAACTGGAGGCAAAACTAAAATTTGCCTTGTGTGGACTCAAGCATAATGAGTTCTTGCATCCTTTTTGTGCACAGCATGGCCACAGATGATATTTACTGTTTGCTGCCAAAAGGCCAATGAAAACTGTTCTATGCATCTCCTGTGCTTGTTCTTGTGTTCCTAAGGTACCTTGAGCACTTGGAAAGATGTGGCTATCCCCGCAGGGGACGCCTTCCGCACCACCATCCACACTGGCTCTGCTTACCACTACACAGCAAATTCAATCAGGATTTTCCCCCTGACAGATGGGGAGCAGGGAAGAAACCCAGGACACTGCAAATGGGAGTGCCTGAAGGAAACCCCAGGCAGTACAGAAAGGAAGGTTATTATGGTTATTTTAATGTCTGCTTCACTCTGCTTTTGTCCCTCTGGAGAAGGAATAAGTTTGGGGTTGGTTATTCTTCCCAAGTGCTGTCAAAGGCACAGCAGACACTTGTGCTATTCACTTGGTCCCCATCAGGACAGCATACATTTCATCACTGCCCTTATTTCAGAACCAGTTTTGACTGGGGAGAGTATTTGTGGTAATGATGAGCTGACATACACAGGCACATTTTCATTTAAATACACCAGCAGTAACTCTAGCTTGCAGTGAGTAATCTTTTTTTTTTTCCAATGTAAGCATCTTGGACCCACATGTATCTTTGCTCCTAACTTCAGGGTGGTTGAATGGAAAGAGCTGAAGATGTGCTAAAGGCAAGAATCTGTGTCCGAGAACACAGCAAACAGCGTGATCTCAGCTGCAATTTCTGGTGCAATGGAGGAGACTATCAGCACAGATCCAGAACCTTGAGCAATATTGTCCTGTGGTTTGATTTCTATTCTGGCATGGTAAATGCAGTAAGGCCCAGGTTTTCCATGGCATTTTCCATTTTTGATTTAGGGAATTTGAAAAATACTTGCTTGAGGCTGAGCCTGAAGTTATAATCTTGGCATATCCATACCATTAAATTCCCGTGGATAAAAGCAAAAGCATCTGGATTCATGAGTGGATGTTGGCTAAATCCACCAGGAAAAAAAAAGCCTTCAGGGGATCCTAGAGGGTTCTAAGCCAGAATAAATAATACAACAAAATAAGAGTGCTATTAAGAGTAATTGTAATACTGAAGCTGAATTACAAGACGAGGGCCAAGCCCTTTTCACAATCTGCTTTTCCAGCTAAGAGCACTTCAATTTACACTTAAAGCACATGTGGCTGATGGAACAAAGAAAAAATTGAAGAAGGATGAAAGCAGAGCAGAGATTATTCAGCCTTGCTGGTTTAGCTCCAGGCACATCGTTTAAATGAGTAGATGATCAGCTTCCAGTTTGTTTTAAATTCTCTGGCAGGAAATTTTACACTCTATCCCAAAGTTGGAAGTTGGATGGGCTTAAAACCTTTTTTTTTTTTTTTTAATTTAAGGCTCTGTCGTTTTGTTTTATTTCTTGAGGCAAGACTCTGAAAGCGCTCTGCAGGAGACACCTGAGTGCTGAGAATGGAGGGGCAGCCTGGGACTGGGGAACAGTTGCTCCTTTCTTACCTCTGGGAGTCTGAACCCTGCCTTGCTGAAGTAGATGCAATACCTAAGCTCAGCAGCACCCAGAGTGAAGTGGCCAAAACTGCTGTCCTCCACATGCTTGCAGCTCCTTTGGCTGCACCTTGTTGTACCAGCACTTCTTGCTTGGTTCAGAGTTGGTGAAAGGAGAATGGTTTGTGTTGCTTGCCCCTTGCATCATCTTTTGGTGTTTTCAGGGTTAAGAGCTGCTGAACAGCACATCCTCTTCCCATCCAGCCCCTCCTGCATGGGTCTCCTCCTTGCACCAGGTCATGCAGCATGTCTTCCGCTGCTGTGATGGGGGAAACTACACCCACTGCCAGGTGATTGAAAAGTAAGTTGTATGCTGCTGAAAATGCCCTTAACGTATCATCCCTCCCCAGACAATGGAGTCAGCATTTCTCATTACCTGTACTTTGTTCACACAGGTCTGCCTTACTGACCCCCACTGACCTTGCACGTCACTCTTCCCAATTCCCAGAAAGCCTTGGGCATTTGCCTGCTCTGTAATCTTCAGCCACCACAGCTTGGGACATGTTCCTTCCTTGTAGAATAAAATCCCTATTGTTTAGTCCTTGTCCTGTCCTCATTTATTGCCCTCTACTGTTGTCCGTACCATAGCTGCCCAGTTGAATAACTCCTAGGGGAGATGATCTGTTGGTACCACTCTAGTAGGTCTTCCTCTATGGAGAGACTTTAGGTTGTCCCCCTCGGAGACACTTCCTGTGATGTACTGTCAATAGATGATGCTCTCTAAAGACTGCCATTAGGCTCTGAACACACGGGATACATGTCTGGGGCAAGGCAATACTTGAAGTATGACTGAAAATACCAGTGATGTTAAGTGATGTTTAGGCTGCCTTATGTTCCATACAAGGAGTAATCCTGTTTACGCTGTAAGGAGTGGGAGTTTGTTTGGCCTTAAAATAGCCTCAATGCATCTAGGAAATCCGTAAAAAGGATCCCTCTGTATTTCTTAGGACATTATTTTCATCAGATCTTGTTACTTAATTTGCCACCAACATCTGTCAGTTCTGCTGTGTATTGCCCAGCAGCACCTGGGTCTGAACCGAAAGCTGACAGGACCCAAAGCAAAAATTTAGTGCTGCTTTCCTTTAAAGGAAAACAAGGAAATACATCTGCTCATAAATGTTACAAAATATTTGTTTTAGATTAGCTGCTATGTCTGCCATTGCCCATGTTTGCAGTTGTATTCTTCCACCCAGCTTGAAGGCAATAGGAGGGCCTGCTGAAATTGCAGGGCTGTCAGGAACAAATAGCTTGAGAAGCTGAGTATGAGAGATGAAGCAGAGCTAAAATTAGAATCTCAGATAAGTAAATATCTGTATCTTCAGTGCTCTGTGGTTTTATTTTGCTCTATGCAAAGCACACATTGGTTTCACATGGCAGTTTGCAGATTGTACCAACTCAAAGAAGGCTTGTGGGGAAAAAAAAAGGCTTTGATGTCTTCAGTAAACGAATAGAGGTGTTAAGAGCTTCAGTTCTTGTTAGCATGCTGCAAACAGCTATGTTTGAAGAAAAATAAACATCCCAAGGTTGATGGAAGGGTAGGAAAGCCATAAAGTGCTGTAGTGAAATCCTTGGTATGAAGACATCAAAAATGACAGCGCCACAAACAAAAGTTTTCTCTTTCCTTTTGCATTAAAAAAAAAAAAGGTTCATGATTTACCAGCCATGAAGTGGGAATAACATTGGTGTAAAATCTAGGACTAAATCATTACCATCCAAATTACAAGAATATTATCAAGTCCACTGGAAAACCAAAGGAAGGATTTCCCTGGAGACCTTCCCCTCTGACCATTCTGGTGAGAGTAGAAGACTCACTCTTCCTTCAGCCTCTATTTTGACTCAGCTTCTGCAGTTCTTCACCTGATACCACTGGGCCACCAGCACCTCTTAACCCTTGTAGCTACAGGATCTCATCCCTGAAAACCTTGTTGGTTTTTATGTTGTGCTACCACCTGGTTTTCATGAGGAAGCACCAGGTATGCATCATGCTCTCAGTGAGGAGGATTAGGATTTCATGGTCCCATGCCTACCTGAGCTTTTACCCTGTAAAGCTGTTGTACTTGTCTCATTGCATCACTTACAACATCCCTTTAGAAATGCAAAAGATGAGGAAATGAACACAAGTGAAGAACTAAGCAATGATCTCTGTTACACCATCATAACCTTGGGGATATAATTTACAATTATACCCCGTCAGCAATCCAAATTATGTTCAGATTGAGAAAGTTTGGAGTCTTCCCTGTAAAGTGAAATCAAAAATTCTCAGGTCATGCTAATAATCAACACACACCAATATTTACAGCAAATTTAAATCTTACCAAAAGCCTCCAGGAAGCCTTTCACTTTAGTTTCATGCAGTTCCAAGCATTTCTCTGAGTTTAAGGAGTTAGGAAATAAATAATTCAGACATAGTTGACTTTTTAAAGTCTCTGTAGCCTCACTATCATCTTTCTTTTGATAATGCTTTTGTTCTGCCTACCAAAGCTCCATTTCAAACGGCACTGGTGAGGCAAACGCTCCATCTGAAGAACTAGGGCTTACAAGAAATAGCAGGGAAAAAGGTAAAACTTCCAGGAAAAAAAAGTGTTATAATCCCAAAGGCAGTAAGTATTCCTTTGGTAACATCATGCAAGTTCTTCATTTTCATTGTGAGCTTCTCCCTCCTGGATTCACAGCAAGGCTTTTTAGCTAAAGCTGAGGCAGAGACTGTTCATAATAAACAGAAGGTCCTTAGAGACTGTAGACATGGCATGTGAGAGCTGTTTACCTGGCACAATGAAGCACTATTCTGTTTATCTTCAGATGTTCCTACAGAAACAGAAGGTATTACAGTGTGGTAAATAAGGCCCCTTCACCCTCAGGAATATGTTTGGGTGGGTTTTTTTTCCAGACTAGTTACCCTTTACTTTCAGCTGCAGAAAGCCCATCTTGTGATTTCTGAATTACTCCTTCATGCTCCCTCCCAAGAGGACAGACTGCTTCCCAGTGCAGAGAGAGACAGAAACTTGCTGACAGCAACTGGGGTTGTTGTTTCCAGTGCTGACCTGCCCATCACAGTATAATGATACCAGACCCCTGGCTGCCAGCAGCCTCTGCAATACATGTATATGTTCTCCAGAACAGGACCACCTTCTTCCTGGGGAGAGTTATTGCTGATATACTGTGGTTGTAACAAAGAAATTTAGAGGGAATAAGCTCTAGCTTGCAACTTGAAACCAAGACAATGGCACAGCTAATGCTGTTGGTGTCTTTGCTCGAAATGGGAAAGATAAGGGCACTGAGAGCTTTGAGAGGCACTTTGGAGGCTGCAGGTCACTCCTAGGATCTGTTCCTGGGCATCGCAGGGGAAAAGCCCTTGATTTCAAAGGGATTAGGGCTGGGTGCCTCCCACCGCTCATCAGACTGGAGCCCTGTTTCTCCCTACCTGCCACAGCAAATATTTTGATTGCAAGATCCAAAGCAATCGTGTTGTGTACTTTACAGAATGCAATCCCCGAGGCACACTGCTGATAACCATCAAACTCATTTCAGACCTGTGGCCCCCCGCCCTGCTGGAGTGCTGCCACCAGCCAGGCTGGCATTGGGTACCGCCACGTGCCTCACTGCACATCCCCATCCTCCTAAAGGACACTTGAAAGGGACGGTCACCCTTTGGGGTAAACCAGCCTGCACAGTGGTGGCTCCTTGAGCTGCTGTGATAACAACATCCCCTCTGCACAGCTGGGGAAAGCAAAGGGACGAATTTAACAGGTGGTAATTTACCATTAAACTTACACCTCTGAAGATCCTTTAGTACCCAGTTGACCCCATCAGGTGGGATTTAGCACTGAACTGATTTATGGCATAGTACAGCAGGCTGTGTGGAGTGTGTTTATCCAAATATCTTCATCGCTCTTTACCAAACACCATTCCACTTCTACTTAAATTAAAACACAATTGCAATTTTCTTAAATATGTCCAATCTTCAATGAAATTACTAATAATGTCAGTTCAGCGTGCAAGTCAGTAAAGTGACGTGGAAAATTACACGTTCTTGACTCAGGAATGTAACTCGCAGGATGACTTCATGCTCCTGAATGAGAAGATCAGCATGCCAGATGCGCCTAGTGCCTGACCCCTTTAAAGGCTCTGAAACATCACACGTAACTTTAAAACGTCATTTTATGCATGGAGAACAGCGAAAGCCTGATAGTTTTGTTACTTAGCTTTCTATTTAATTTGGTTAGGGCATTGTGAATGTCTTAATAACATGAAGCAGAATTCTGATCTCTGGTCTGGCTGCACATTTGAAATACCCTAATGTCTTTCTCATGGCTGGAGTGCTTAACATCTGTATTTTCTTCCTATTAATAAGAAATTGCATTTCATTTTCCAATGAAGAGCGATCTTCACAGTGTAGCTGACAACTTTGCAGTCCACGCTTTCAGTCATGCATTGAATTTTACTGAATTGTTTTGTATGGAGCCAAAACCAACAAATGTGAGCATAGAACTAATACCTTTTTAAAACTAGTTGTATTTTTAAGTCACAAAAATCTCACTCCTGACGCATTGCCCCTGCTATAGATTTGAACACCCTTTCTTTTTCCTTGCATAAGTGCTCACTCCAAAATCCTGCTGAAAAGTATTCAGAGTGTGATCCAGGTCTCTGTCTTTATTAAGCATGTCCCCATAGCAAATTGTACAACAGCATTTTGTACAGTTGTATTTTTCCTCTCCCCCAGTGCATTCCACACACCTACACAGTCATGCTAATTAGATCATGTAATAAACTTAAATGCGGCAAAAATCTGTTCACAGGGTGTTGCAAGACAGAGCTAGATTTGGAAAGCAGCCATTCATGAATTTTGTTTTGTTTGAGAAAAGCCAGAGGATGTTATTTTGCTGAAGATGAAGCAAACTCCATGTAATAGGAGCTGTAATCTAAGGAGACAAATTATTTTATTAAAGTAAGGCTCAGCGAGCCCTGATATAAAGACTTGCTTATGTGAAAAAAACTGCTAGAGTTTAATGAAGCCACTAAAAATAATTAAACCTAAACTAAGGTTGATTAGTTTCACTAAATTTAGCTAATCAAAACTAAACTAGTTTCCGTAGTAATCCGTAACTACAAAAGAGCTAAATAGCAAGGAACTTAACTTTGAGCACCAGGTGTCTTTTTAAACTGTCTACAGTGGGATATGGTGATAGATTCAAAATGTACCCCAACCATTTTTTCTATAGATTATCTTAAACTCATCATAATGCACCCTGCAAATACCTCTGAAATACCACTTATCGCTGCAGCCTTACACTTGCATGCTCATTTCTAGGGAAAGGAGTAATTTTGGGTGCTCTACCAATTTGACAGCAGTGTTTAATTGGTCCTGGATTTTACGACACGGTAACACAATCAGCTGTCAGGTAGGAACTGCTTTCTTAATTTCAGTTCAGATGCTAAAAGTTTTGGCCACCGTTGCACTGAATTGCATTTAAACCTGTAGATCTATTAAGTCAGCTCTTAAATACAACCACGATAATTTTCATAATGAACTAGACAGACCGAGAGCGTTACTAGATGACTTCTGCAAAGCTAACGAAGAGCATGAAGAACTGACAGGTGATGAAACACATGGGAGAAGACGCTGAGGTTGTGGCTGGCTGGTGGGGTGCTGGTTCAGGAAAAACCTGTCTGCAGATTTCATCAAACTGCCATTAATGAAGTACGATGATAACTTTCAGCTATATCCTTGATCAACACTAGATGTTGCTATGCTGCTACTCATATAAGCTATACATTAGTAAGGCTTTTAAATGGTATTTACTGCAATTTCCTCTTTCCTGTTTCTGTTCTACACTATATTCTGAGTGCTGGGTGACCTGCTAGTTTAATTTACTTTATTAATATCAAGTTTATAAGCCCCTCAAATGTACATGTAAAACTCTACAAGCAGCAGAGCCTCTTGCAAGTGATAACATGAAGCAACTCCTATATGAATGTCAAATATTTACTTAAACTCTGCTTCTGAATTTTTTGCAATCCAAGGGGAATGACACTGTTAGCCGGACAATTCCGGGAACAGACTGTCAGCTGCAAGGCCATGGAGGGAAGTTTGTTTATGGGGGGGGGGGGGGGATATATAAAAAATACCAAAAAAGTGTTTAGCCCCGCTGGGTTTCAGGCTTTCTACTCCCACGTGTTTGAGTGGGAGAAAGGACAAAATCTTAGGACGTTGATTTCCCCATGGTAACAGAAAACGGAAATTACTTTAACCCCATCTAGTGACAGATGACTCATTGCTCAGCCTGCTGCTATTTTCCAAGCACTGAAACAATACAGCTGCAGAGAAAAGGCCAGCCTGTATTATCTCATGGGCTGCGCGCTGGGGCTTGTGGGAGAGGGCAATTCTCTGGCTGCCTTTTTATCGACAAAAGACAGAGCTGGAGCCGTTTGGTGATGCTTTTATTGTAGAAGGCAAATGTGCCTGTGTGCTTCCTGTCCCTGTACCACTGGAGGGCAAAACCAGAGTGTTCCCAGGGTGGTCATGCAGTGCCCATGGGGTGAGCTGATGCTGGTGGGTGGCCTATTGCCTGGTCCTGTTCGCCCTGCATCCAATGATATCATAAGGCACTTCCATGCTTCCAGTTTAAACACCGTCCACACGCCCGGAATTATATGCAGGGAACTGTGCATGCAGTAGAGTCATGATTTGTTCACAAATGCAACCCAGTGAGGGGAAAGCAGGTATGAGCAGGTCCCTATGCATGAAAAAGTAGTTGTAACAGGATCTCACAGGAAAGGCTGACACAGGAATATTCAGCTTTGAAAGCTGAATTATTGTAGGTGAAAGGATTAGGGAGAGTGGTTTCTGAGTGAGGATGGTGGAACCATTATCACTTGGGGTCCTTAAACCCAGAGCAGGTGTTGCTGTAAGAAAAGCTTCAGTCCAGCTTGCAGGATGAAGAGGTAAGCTATGTGCTCAGGAGGTCAGCCTTAACTCCGTATCTGTCTTCTTGCACCTTAGACCTCTTGCAGCAGAGCTGCACGAAGCTACCAGCTCATCTGAGGAGCATCTTTGTTGAGCATCTGCAACATCTGGATGACAGCCTTTGCTCAGCACCTTCTGGACATGGCAGAGAAAGGCTGTTTTGGAGAGGAGCTGGTTCGAGCTCAGAGAGTCAACAGTGGTTCTTCATCTGCCTCTTCCCACCAGCAGCTCAGGGCAGGAGGTACCCTCTCTATATATGTTGGTTTTCCTAAATCCTGCTAAGTATTCAGAAAGGCTCAGAAGTAAGGTTAGTAAGGTTTCCTGAGCCTCAGATGCACTTTAAGCATAAAATATTACCCTACTGAACAGGGAAGGTATTAATGCTACCACTGAGATGATATACTCAATAATTAACTGGTCACCAGAAACTGGGGATGGGCATCAAAATATTGGGAAAATCAGAACCCCAGGAAAACTACGTGGTGGGACGGTGTCATGGGACACATGAAACATTTTCTTTCTGGGAAACACAAGCTGAGCTATTGGTAAAATAACCAAACTCTTCATTCAATCTTGTCATTTGTATGCTGGTCTGATTAATTTTCAGCTTCCTAACAGAAGGAAATCAGATCCATAAGTTTCTATTTGAGTAGTACAGTTAACCAAAAGAATTACTCAGTTACCAGGTTCTTCTGGAAACCAGGCACTGGGTTTCATTAACAGCACAGTTTACCTTCATGCAGAAATCAATGTACCAATACAAACTAATAGCTTTTCCTGCTGAAACCCAGACTTTGAAGGGTGCTCCAGGCTATGCTGGGCACTGCTATCTATGCCTTGGCTGGGTTTATCTGGTAACATTCTAGACTTGGCTACAGGCATTCCAAAACCATGATTTCAACAGCAACTTAACCAGGATGCTCAGAGCTGTTGCCTCTGCTTTGTCTTGCCTCTGCCTTGTCTTGTCCCACTTGGCTGCTGCTTCAACCCAAATTCTTTGTGGCCAGCTCTGATTTCTGGGATGTTTGGCCAGGAGGTGCTTCTGGGCTACATGTTGTTATCATACTTAGAGTTTCGTTCAGCACTCTCCTATAATACAAAATGTCCCCTCCCTAAAAAGCGAGAGCCCTGTGGACCTGCCGGCTGTGGGGAAGAAGAACCAGAGATCACAACAGTTTATTCTTGAAAAAGAAAATATGACTGTTGCTTTCTAAACTTATGCCAGCCTGACAGGTCCAGAGAAAGATGTGGGGATTTGGTTTAAACTCCATCTTTCAGGAATTCATTTATCAGTGTTCTGGTTTAGAAGACCATGAATTATGGCACTAAACATAAAGATTGCTCCTTTCGGAGAAGGAGTAATTGCCAAAATGTCCATGTAGAAAATGAGAACAGGAGATTTAATTTAGGCACGGGTTGTTTGGTTTGGTTTGTGTTTCTTTTTTTTTTTTTTTGCTTTAATGTTCTCTCCAATTCTCTATCTAGAAAATGGCTACTTTACCTGGAAACATATTTTGTATTGTGCTGCTTGAGGGAGAAAGGGCTAATTAAATTTGTAAAGTGGAAAGTAATGTTGAAGATGCCTTTGTAAGACTGTGATTCTGACTGCTGGTGTCAGCTTTACTGCCAATACGTACAGATGGTAATGAGTGAGCTACCATCAACAATCCTTTTGTCCTAGGGTCCCACTCAGCTCATAAATGTCTTCGCCGGTTATTGTTTGCAGTTATTTAGTGTTCAGTTTGTAAGTGCAATACTCTCACTGATGCTGTGCCCCAAACCAGAGAGAGCAGGGTAACTAACAGCAGTTTCCCAGATGGCTCTGTGTGTACAGAGCCCTCTGACCAAGTGCAGAGAGGCTGCAGAGGACATGCTGAAGCAGACACATGTGAACCAATGTCAGTAACCAAACCAAGGCCTCCACAGCTGAGTTGTGTGTGTATAAATACAGCTTTCCTGCAAGAGCCAGGGAGCAAAGGGTCTAGGTTTGCATGGCTGGTGGCTGTGCCAGTGTTTGGGCAGGGCAATTAACGGTAATTCATTAGTGGATGGAGTGATTAATGAGATGGAGCGGACTCCAGGACTTTTAGATACTGCATTCAAACTTTCCACAGAACATATTGTACTGAATTTTGCATAGCCAGAAGACTGCATTTCTTCTTACGAACAAGGATAAATTCTTCAGAATGAGAATATAAACCACTTTCCCCAGAACAGTATTTGAAACTTTGGGCAAACTCTTTGTCTGCTCTTTGATTTATCAGCCTGACTTCTGTGCAGTGTTCAGTTCTCCACAGTCATCCTTAGAAACACTTCCTTCACCTCTTTCAGTACACAAGCTCTGTGGTAACATACATAAACCACAAACAACTGCTGTACACTTTTTGTCAGTAATCCTTAGTTCATACCAACAGGTTCTTTTAGCAGCATCTGCAGATTCTGTTTTACAGCTCTGCAGCATGCATTGCCCCAAAGGCTCATTCCTAGGCAAAAGCAGCAGGCACAGGAGCTATTTGCCATTGCTGGGCAGGTGGAGGTTGGGGTCCAAACTCTCCAACTCTTTTTTGCAAAGCTCCTTTCTTCAACTCTGCAAGAATATTTTCAGCCCCCTTCAACCATGAGGAGTTAGCTGTGCCTGGGTCTCTGGCCAGCCAATGCTTTCTTCTCAAGCAGCCTTCATATCTCCCAGTGAATGTCAGGGCTAGTTTCCCTTTGACTGCAAAGTTCAGTAAATACCACTCTTTTCCAACTCTCGTCAAGGCAGAAAGATTTTCCTCCTTGTGTCTAATTCTCCTGAGCGCGTTTGAGTTTTCCGACTGCAGTCTGCTTATTTCCACACAGGGTTGCCTATAAAAAAATTCCCTCTTTTAATTTCAACACATTTTCCCTTACAGTGGAGCAATGGAAACAGTCAGAAGCTGCCAGCTTTTCTGGCTTGCCTTTTGAGGAAGGCTGCGGATTCATGTTTCCTGGGAACTACACTTCCCAGAAGACATCTTATCTTCCCCCAAACCAGGAACCGAGGCTCACTGGCTTCGTCACTTCCTCCTCCCTAAGCTGCAATGAGCAAGAAAGGCAGGAGGTCTCCTGGAGCAAGTGGCTTACAGTGGGCATCCTGGGCAGGAGGGCAACAGGGGACAAGGCAGGTCTGCTCCTACTGTTCCACATCCATCTCAGCACAGTGTCTACTCATTTAGAGCTCTGTGCAGAGTTAGGGGGAGAGCATTGTAAGGTCACTGTAGGAAGGCACTGCTTCCACTTACATAGAATTACAAAATCCCAAACTAAAGTGTAGCGTTTAAAGGGCTGCCAGTGTTAAGGTTTTTAGGGACCGTGTGAGAATGGAAGAAATGCCTTTTGTGGCCATGTGTCTCCACTGAAGTAATATTTCAGCATGTCTGTCCTTTGCAGTCCACAAAATCCTCCTCTTTAGCCTCTGATCAGACATGTTTGTGGTACCCACTTGAACAGCCTGCTGTGATGCCACATGCCCTGCTGGCTTCCTTCTCCCAGGGGAACAGTCTTAGGTCTTAAAAGCAAAGACTTAATTGCATGGCCCTAAGCAGTCTCCATACCGTTTCATGTGATGTGACTCAGTACCATACTTGGTCACTTAACAAGCCTGAGTACTCCTAATTAAAACCAGTGCTTGCCCAGACTATTGCTGTGTTGTCTCAGTCAGTAAAGTCATTAATAGTGGTACCACCCTAAACAAGCCTATTTGTGTGGAGGCTGTAATCTCTTGAAGTGATCTCTGTCTTTTGCAACCTGAAGTCAAAGGTGTTCCTTTTATGAGAGCCTTCTAAAGTTTGCCGGGAAAGTCATCAAAAGGCTCCTGACTGTGTCTGAAGTCATGAGGAGCCTCCCAAAAATCAGATAGCAAGTACACCATCAGCAGATTAAAAGGTCCGGGGCTTGCATTTGCGATCTAGAAAGGTTAGGCTCAGTTTCCAGTAAGCCAAAGGAGCTGGGCAATGAGCAGCATCATGTCTTCAGGGCTTTAAAAACATAGTGGGACTTGGAGTGCAAACGTGAAAAGTCAGAGTGGTGTTTCAAGAATAACATGCTTTTCCCCATCTAAGGCAGGTAGGAGGACTTTGCTTCTTGCTGATAGCAATAGTTCGTGGAAATAGATACTGGCCTTCAAAGTACTCACACTAATATAAATACTGACCTAAACGCAATAAAACTTACCCTTGCCTGTGTTTTTCCCCCACTGGAATGTACTCTGTTTCTAGAGGGTTTTCACACAGATTTCTTCCAAGGAATCTCAGCATCCCTTGTCATTGCTAAATGAAGCTTCAGGAGAGCTTCGCTGTGCAGGTTTAGCCTCACAAAAGTTGCTGTGTCAGGAACTAGAAGATGGAAAAGCGATTCAGAGTAAAAATGAAACAATCTTTCAAAAACCTGGAATCCAGCGCTTCTGAGGAGTTTATAAGAAATATACCTATTTGCCAACAGCAGATCTGTGACAGGTATCGCACCCCCACCACTGATGACATTTCCCTGCCCCTCGTGGAAGGACAATAACAAAGTGCTATTGCTGCAGAAAGTAATCTGATAGTGCTTGTTTCTAATTGCTGCTGGCAGGGAAAGCTCATTATGCTTCAATTTCGATGAAGCAAGTTTTAATTGCTGAAGTTCAGCCACTGGTGCCACCCAAACCTTCTCTACCCCTTCCCTGAAAGGCTGTAATTTCAGTGAACATAGTATGCAATGATGAATATTTATAATAAATAATAAGGCAACTGGCTATAAGTAGCCATGCATCATGGCATGTGATGGCTGGGTGAGAGGCACCCAAGAAAATGCAGGTAAGTGGTGGAACCACCACCTGAAGGGGCCATGCAATTGCTGGCTGTTTGCAAGAAAATCAGTATTTGGACACCTAAATATGCCACATCTTGTTCAGCAATCATGGGGAACAAGTGTGCTCCCTCCCCAGTTTGTTCTTAGAAAGCCCCCCCAGGCCAGCCGTGTCCCCTGTGGGACCAGGATGCTGTGTGCACGTGGGTTCCCTGGGGCCACAGTGGCACCAGAAGCAGCAGAAGAAAAGCAGAACTACCCTGTGAAGATGTTGTAGCACATTTAAAATACCCAAGTGGTTTCACACCGGATGAGCACAATGTATCAGGGGTCAGGCATTTTGAGCTAGAACTTGCGATCCTGAAGCACCTTAGCCTCTGTTGCCACTGTGCAGTCCCTTACTTCTCTACCTCTATTCACCCACTTTTTAGAGTAG